ACTTAACAACAACAACAATGTCCATGGAAAGAGATGGTAGAAAAGCTCCATATTATCAGCCAAAACAAGGCCTGGTGCAGACTGTGGAACAGACCATCAATTGCTCACATGTAAGTTCAGGCTGAAGCTGAAGAAAATTTAAACAAGCCCACAAAAGCCACAATATGACTTTAAACATTTCCCATCTGAACTTAGAGATCATCTGAAGAAGAGATTTGATGCATTAAACACTAATGAACAAAGACCAGAAAAGTTGTGATATGACATCAAGAACATCATACAGGATGAAAGCAAATTGTAAGAAGAAAATAAGAAAGGGAAAGTCCAAAATGGATGTCAGAAGAGACTCTGAAACTTGCTCTAGAGCATAGAGATGCTAAAACAAATGGAAAAATGAGGAGGTAAAAGAGCTAAATAGAAAATTTCAAAGGTCAGTCCAAGAGTACAAAGTCAACTATTATAATGAAATGTACAATGATCTGGAATTATAAAAACAAAAGGAAGTACACACTCAACATTTCAAACTCAGGGAACTGGAGAAAAAATTCAGACCTTGTCTTGAAATATTGAAGAATTTTATGGGTAGAATATTGAAATATGCAGAAAGCATCAAAATAAATGGAAAGAGTACACAGAATCACTGTACCAAAAAGAAATGGTTGATGTTCAACCTGTTCGAGAGGTAACGTATGATCAAGAACCAGTGATACTAAAGTGAAAAGTTGAACTAGAATTGAAGCATTGGCAAAGAACAAGGCACTAGAAACTAATGGAATACAAATTGAAATCTTTCAACAAACTGATACAGCACTGGAGCCACTCACTCATCTATGCCAAGAAATTTGGAAGACCACTCTTGGCAAACTGGCTAGAAGGGATTCATATTTCGGCCTATTCCAAAGAGAGGTGACCCAACAGACTATGGAAATCATTGGGCAATATTATTAACAACACATGCAAGAAAAATTTTGCTCAAGATAAAACAAAAATGTGGAAAATTAGCAACAGGGTTTTATTGTTGCACCATACTTATTCAATGTGTACATTAAGCAAATAATCCAAGAAACTGGATTATATGAAGACGAATGCAGCATCAGGATTGGAGGAAGACTCATTAACAACCTGTGATATGCAGATGATACAACTTTGCTTGTTGAAAGAGAAAAGGACTTTAAATTCTTACTGATGTTTAAAGACCACAGCCTTCAGCATGGATTTCATCTCATTGTAAAGAAAAGAAAAATATTTACCCCTGGATAAGAATAAACAACATAAAGACAAATAGAGAAAAGATTGAGGTTTTAAAACAATTCATTTTGCTCAGAACAACCATCAACACTCTTGGAAGCAGCAGTCTTCAACGTATTGCATTAGGCAAATCTGCTGAACAAAACCTCTTTAAAATGTTTAATAAAAAAGATGATAGTCTGAGGATTTAAGGTGCACCTAACTCATGTCATGGTATTTTCAATAAGTTAATATGCATGTGAAAGTTGAACTGTGAATAAAGAAGTCTGTAGAGAAATTGATGCATTTGAGTTATGGTTTTGGAGTAGTACCAAGGACTACCTAAAGAACATAACAATCTTTGTTGAATAAGTACAGCCAAAATTCTCCTTGGAAGCCAGGATGGCCAGACATTGCCTCTCATACTTCAGACATATTATCAGGAGGGACCAGTCCCTGGAGAAGGACATCATATTTGGTATAGAGGAGGGTCAGAGCAATAGAGGAAAATCCACTACAAGATGGATTTTCACATTACTAGCAGCAATAGGCTCAAGCATAGCAACAATTGTGTGGTTGACACAAGACTGGGCAGTGCTTCGTTCTGTTGTGCAATAAGGTCATTATGAGTTGGTACCAATTTGGTGGCACATAACAGCAACAACAACAAAACATGGAAAATGTATGCTATTTGAAGAAGAGCGATATCCCCAAAGATGTGGGTTGGTACAGAGGCAGCAGCAGTAGACTGAAAAATAATCATTGTGAGAATAGCACAAGACTGGGCTGGGTTTCGTTCTGTTGTGCATAGAGTCATTAGGAGTTGAGTCAACTGGATGACATTTAACAATAACAGTAGCAGTGAAACTAAGACAAATACATTACTGAGAGAGCTTTGCAGTCAGTTCTAAATCCATGATTTATGCTGTTTACAAAATTTAAAAGTATCACTTGAAATAAATTGTAAAATTAGTTTAAAATAGTTCAGATATTCTCAAAATGACCTTGTGCTGAATAGTGATAACTTTTGAACAAAGAATGCATTTATTTTTGAAAATTGCAGAAAGAAAATTTTTGATTTGTTGTTGCAGATACAACTGATTTCTATAAACCAGTTAGCAGAGGAAAGAAATTAATTCCACTTGAATATACTTGTAAAATTGTGTCTCACTATGTCCACTTGATTTCTACTTAAATATACAAAAGTTATTTCATATATGTTGTTATTAAGTGTTATTGAATTGGATTTAATTCATAGAGCCTCTGTATAGGGTTTCCAAGGAGTGTTTGAATTGCTGACTTTGTGGTTAGCTATCCAGTGCTTAAGGAGTTCTGGTAGCATAGTGGTTCCAAATCAGGCTGCTAATCTCACAGTCAGCAGTTCGAAACTACGAGCTGTTCCTCAGGAGAAAGAGGAGTCTTTCTCCTCCCATAAAGATTTACAGCCTAAGAAACCCTGTACAGGGTCGCTATGAGTCGGAACCAACTCCATGACACACAACAACAACAACAATATCCAGTGCTTATCCTTACAGTACCACATCAGGACTCTATTTTCATATTTTATATATAAGCAGTTATATAAACTGTTTTAAGATTAGAATTGGAATTTGACATTTAAGTGTACATGGCTCTATAGACGTTTTTCTTAAGCTCTTTAGGACCACTTCTGACTATATGAAAAGCTGTAAGTCAACATGCACAAGTGTGCTTTAAAGTGTTCTTTTTAAAAAATAGGATTTACTGACATATTTAAAATAGGATTTGATATTTAAATATAATATTCCCCATTTTGAAAGAGGACATAGTGAGCTAGAACCAGTGACCTTGCAGTTCAAACAGACTTTGCAATCCAGTGCATTATCCCACAGCACCCCACTGAGAAAATTACTGTATATACTTGAATACATGGCTCATCTCTCGTGAATATTTCTTGTGATGAAAACAGAAATCAGGGAAACACATACATGAGCAAAATAAGTACTTTAACTGAAACCAATGGAATCAGAATTTGTAGCACTTGGAATAGGAAAGTAATGTTTGCGGGGGTGAAAATTAAGCCTGAGACCTTTTCTTAACTGCAAGTTAGACTTAAAAGGCAAATTTCCCTTAGATAGAGTTTTAAATTTGCATAAACAGGCATATGCTATTGAGAGAAAGGAAAGATATGAGTTACTACAGCTTTCACAAATAGCTATCAGTAGAGTTGGAAATGCTTATATCCAATAAGCAATGCCCTTTTATCAAAATAGAAACTTTCCTATTTTGTAAAGTAGTCATAATGAGCCATCCTTAGTTTTTAATCAATGTTTGGAGTCTGAACATAACTGACTTGTATAAAAAAAAAAAAAGAAAAAAAAACTTTAATAATACCCCCCAAAATGCAGTATAGTTTTATATAAGTTTTGATGATGTTTCTATTTTCAGTTTGATTTTTTTTTTTTTTTAATACATGTTTCCCAGGATAGTCCACTGGTCTTACAATCTGACAGGAATGTAACAGTGAACGCAAGAAATCACATGGGGCAGTTAACTGGACAGCTGACAGTAGGTGAGTGTACATAAAGATTGCTCAAATCTTAACTTCATGAAAAACTCTGTGGGTGTTTTAATTGGGAAACTTAAAAATACATTATTTCGTAAGTATATATAACTAGCTATCATATTATAGCCAATTATCTTGCACATAATTAGATTTGTCATAAAGTTCACTATAGTTTTCTCTATTTGAGGGTTATTACTCTATTCAGTATGTTATTATGAGAACACTATTTTGCTGTTCATTACTCTTGAATTATGAAATCCACTATTTGCCTAACAAATATATCCACAGCATACGACTAGACTTAAACAATCATGGAATGTTATAACGTCATGAGGTCTATGTATCTGTTGCCTTAGGGAGTTAGTTTTCTAGTAATGTTATATTTATTCTAACAGTTGTATGAACTAGTATTCATTGTAATTATTACATTTTATTTAACAAACAAACAAAAAAAGGAATATAATTGTTAACATGGATCAATTATAAATTTGTTGTTCAAATTACGTTTTAAACTTTTAGAAGTTATAGAAAGAACTGATAAAATATGACTAGTATTTTCTCTATATTATATAAATATTTCAATATACTAATATTATCATATTAAAATACAAAGATTTTTTTGTGTGTGACTCAATTTTTTAAAAAACTTTACTGTGAGTTGGGTGAAGGTTTACAGACAAGATCATCAGCTCTACATTCAGAAAATTATGCACCTTGTTTCAGCTCCATGTTTACAATCCCACTTCCTGCAACAACATTTATTCTACTTCCTCACAAATGAACAATATTTAATGTACTTCCACACAAATACAACAATATTTGATGTACACTTACAAAAAAAAAAAAAAAAAAAAAAAAAAGCCCGTTTTTTAATCATTGAAATGCCCAAAGGTCACATTCTGCCAGGCACACAACCACTGTCTTGGCTGACACTTCTTTTCTAGGTAAGGGTCTCCGGCTCCACTCATGCTCTTCCTTCTTGATGGTCCTGGGATCCTCTGTTCCTGTAATGAAAGAGTACCTACTCCTTCCTTTCAGTTACACATCTTCTGCATTTATAGCTGTGACTATCGCAATTAATCCTCGCAGTTATTCACAATTGAGTCATAAAATTAAATCATCATTGCACCCTCATCCCCTTTCACCAGATCCATCTGGGAAAGAGGTAAACTATTTAGTAGGGAGTCTACCTTACCCCCTCATTTTACAATTAATCACAACCACGAAAGCTTGTAAGCCAGCCACTTCATGCCTTTGTAACCACCCCCCAAATGCCATTTTTGGTAGCCAGTGTCTAAATTTGTTGTCCCTATCGATCCAGTGAGGCGGCACAGGAGGCACTCTCTCATCTCTGCCAAGAAATTTGCAAGACAACTATCTGGCTCACTGATCGTGCCCACTCCAAAGAGAGGCGGCCCAAGCCATGATATTTTCAATCACCTCAATTGCATGTGAAAGCTGGATAGTGAATAAGGAAGACTGTAGAATAATTGATGTTTTTGAGTTATGGTGTTGGAATATTGAAAGAGCCATGGGCTACCAAAATCCATTTTGGAAGAAATGCAGCCAGAGTGCTCCTTGGATGCCAAGATGGCCAGACTTCATCTCTCATACTTTGGACATATTGTCAGGAGGGACCAGTCACTGGAGAAGGATATCATGTTTGGTAAGGTGGAGAGAGAGAGAGAGAAAAAAAGGAAGAACCCCAACAAGATGGATTGGCCAAGTGGCAGCATCGATGGCCTCAAGCGTGGCAACAATAGTGAGGTTGGCCCAGGATCGGGCAGTATTTCTTTCTGCTTTGCATAAAGTTGCTATGAGTCAGTACCGTCTCAATGGCACCTAACAACAACAACAACATCAATCCAGTACACTGAAGAAACAAGGTTGTTCCATGATATGAAGAATCCTTCCATTCCAGTTAGAATTTTAAGTCACTGTATCCAAAATTCTAGTTGACCAAATTGTAGCAATTTACACTTGTTCTCAGTATCAAATATCTTTACGGTCCTTGGTATGAGTTCTGGTCAACTAGCCATCCAAGCTATGTCAAATGTGTACTAGCTGCATGTCTGTGAGTTCATGCACATCTCCCTGCACTTCAGACCAGTTGGCCACTTCAGCCCTAGCCCTCAGGGTCAGTGTCCATGGCCTCAGGTGTACACTCATCTTCCTAAACTTCAGAACAGCCCACACTTCCTCTGCTTTCTCTTTTCAAGGTCAACAATTGGAATATGGCCAAACTTATCCCATGCTTTCATAGCTGCATTTCCTCCACTTCCACTCACAAGTACATCTGGGTGGTCACCAGTGAGCATACTAGACTGCTCATGGTTGACTTTGAGTTTCAGTATTAAAAGGGGATTTTCCCAGATGGGCTGACTTTTCTTTCCTCGATGCCTCCAAAGCAAAATCTTGCTTGATATTCAGGCAGCCAAATGGTCTGTTGTTATTCTGCAGGTCTTTCATTCAAAAAGAATCTTCCACTCTCCCAGAAGTTCTGGATTGGTTTGCTTCTCTTTTCAAGTGGGAATGTCCCAAATCAGAATTATCTGATTGGGGCTCAGGATTCCACCTAAGGCCCCATACTCTACTAAGGCTTATGAAGAAGCTTGTTCCCCTGGGCAAATTCTATTTCACCTTTCAGCAAATCCAATCAGTTATAAGCTGAAAGTGGGCTTAAAAGATTTCTGTCATAGTTTCCAATATTCATTTCTGTCACACATAAATGTCTATTTTACAATGTTGTTATGTGCCGTGGAGTCGGTTCCGACTCATAGCGACCCTGCACAGGGTTTCCGAGGCTGTAAATCTTTACGGGAGCAGAAAGCCTCATCTTTCTCCCGCGGAACAGCTGGTAATTTCGAACTGTTGACCTTGCTGTTCACAGCCCGATTCGTAACAACTACGCTACAACAGTAGTGGGGAAAACCAATATCCGCAAGACAGTCAAGCACATAAGCATTTTTTCCCATCCTTTACCCATTCAGCCTATGTCTTGATCCATGTATTTACTCACAGAACACTGTTGATCCAACATTGTGCAAAAAGCACAATTTACTTCTATCCTATTTAAACCATGCATTCCTCCCTATCTTCCCTATTTATCTGCCTCCCTACCCTTCCCTACCCTCCCTCTTCTTGTGTATTGTCCTCCCCCTCCTTGTATATTGTTCTCCCTGTCACCTAAGATAACAGAGTCCTGGCGTGGCGCTGTGGGTTAATGTGCCAGACTGCAAAGCCATTTGAACTGCAAGGTCAGAGGTTCAAGTTCACCAGTCACTCCTCGGAAAACCCTACACAGGGTCACTATGGGTCGGAACCGACTCAACGGCACTTAACAACAACAACCCTCTAGCCAGTGAATTAATTTCCCCTCCCACCCACCTCTGGTAACCATCAAATAATTTTTTGTTTATGGAAACCATTTCTCAAGCTTTTAAAATAATGTCATTCATTTGACTCAATTTTAATAGGAAGAAAGGCAAGTAAAAAGTCCATTAACATTTACATGCAAATATGTTTCAATTAAATTATATAAAACATGAGTTTTTAAATGTTTGATTTATGAAATTGAATTTTATTCTTTCAACTTACTTTGCCAATGTGTGAAGTGTTTTTTGGATATATATTTTTTGCTTTAGTGAAGAAAAAAAGGGAGCTTATATTTGAGAATAAATGTATTTTCCAAAAATGTAATTGCCTTTTATTTCTGATGTTGTTAAGTGCTGTCAAGTCAATTCGGACTCATAGTGACTCATAGTGACCCTTACAGTGTAAGCTGAGCTTGCATTCCAATGATTATCCTATTTATTAAACATATGAAGTAATTTCAAATATTCATGAAAAATTTCCATGATCTTTTTATTCCATTTTTTCATCAAATTTTGAAGCCTCTTTGTATTTCCTTACATAATAAAAGTGGATCATTAGAGATCTATTAAAATCTAGAGTTGAATAGCATTGACAAAAAGGCTATATTGCAAAGCAACTGAAATTAGAGAAAATAAATAAGTTTATGCATAAAGAATTAACTTAAACACAACAGGTTCTCCATTAGATGTCCATAATCAGTTCACTAGAAACTGTAGAAATGGACCCAAAGCAGACATATTTCCCACCATCACAACTTTCTTGAAAATAAGTTCTCTTTGTTGTTGTTGTTTTTGTTAAGTGCCCTTAAGTCAGTTCTGACTCATAGTGCAACTGTATAGGGTTTCTGAGGAGCTGATGGTGGGTTTGAACTGCTGAGTTTGTGGTTCACATTCCAATGCTGATGCTACTGTGTCACCAGGAATCCAAAAACTCTCTAGCTAGTAAGAATTTCCTTTTGCATACAGTTCTGAACATAAAAAATATGTCCTTAGTAGAAATGTCAAAAAGTAAATTAAGGACACAAAGACAATATTCCAAAATCCACAGTCAAACACAATAGCCATAAAACTCTTGCCTACACAGCAAAGCAGCTGTTTGATAATAGGGAATGTAATAAAGTACTATTTGCGTTTCGCTTCATGCTTTCCTGCAGTATACATAAAGAATAAGAGTATCATGTTTGTATTTTCATTTACCCTTCCAAACTGATTTAAATGTAGTATTAATATTTTCCAACTGGGGAAAGCCAGAATGAGAAAGACAGAGAAAGAGATTTCACCTAGTTTTGCATGATGAAAATCACTAATTTATGAGGTGGCAGAGATTTTCTGGAACCCTGCTGTGGTGTTGTGGGTTTATGCTATGCTAGACTTCAAGGTCAGTTTGAATTGCAAGGTCAGAGGTTCGTGCTCACCAACCACTCCTTGGAAACCCTATACAGGGTTGCCATGGGTCAGAATTGACTCAATGGCGCTTGACAACACCACCCCCAACAGATCTTTTCTGTGGATAGAAATTCACTTATTCCAGTGGAGTTTAAACTAAAAACGATTTAACATTCTGGCCTTCTGGATGTTTTGTTAATGTCTTTTTCTTTTTTAATCTTTTCACTATTTAACATTTTTCAATAG